ATGTTGACGACGACGATGAAGTTCATGATGCTGTTGATTATGGTAATGACGATGGTGATGATGATCATGATCGTGACCATGATGATGATGATGATGACGGTGATGATGATGACGATGTTGATGATGATGACGATGCTGATGATGATGATGATGATGATCTGCTGCTGCTGCTGCTGCTGCTACTTCTCCTCATCCCCATGCTGTTGCTCATCATATTCCTGCTTCTCTGCTGCTCCTCATCTTCCTCCCCCTCCTCTTGCTGCTCTGGCGCAGCTCCTCATGCTCCTCTTCCTGCTCCTCCCTAGTGTCTGAGAAGGGTGCGCAGTTTCAGGCCACTCGGCACAGAAGAGCCAGGACTGCGAGCCCCTACGGGAGGCGGGGGCGGAGGACTAGGAGGAAGGGGGGGAGGAGGAGGAGGAGGAGGAGGAGGCGGAGGAGGCGGGGGAGGAGGAGGACGAGGAGGAGGAGGAGGAGGAGGAGGAGGATGAGGATCCCTCTTCTATCTCCTCCCTGCTGCTGTTGCTCCTCCCTGCTGCTGTTGTTCTTCCTCCTCCTCCTCCTCCTCCTCACTGCTGCTGTTTCTCCTCCTCATCCTCATCCTCATCCTCCCTTCTACCCCGCCACCTTGATGATGATACCGATGACGAGGACGACGATACTGATGATGATGATGATGATGACGGGCCCGGAGCCCGGGATCATATATGACCCCGTGTTGTATTTGCGCCCAGCGGGCTCGTGGGTTGTCACATTATCCCCGCAATGGGATGCCCTGGCAACTATTCGGAAAGTTGGTGTTGACAATTATGCTGATGACGATGCCCAGGATGCCCCTTTGTTCATCAATCCTGACGGTGGCGACGATGCTGATGATGTCGTTGATGATGATGCTGATGACGATGATGCTGATGATAATAACGATCACAATGACAATGACCATGATGATGATGATGATGATGACGACGACGACGGTGACGAGGAGGATGATGATGATAATGATGGTGGTGATGATGATGATGAGGATGATGATAGTGACGACGATGATGATAATGATGATGATGCTGATGATGATGATGGTGGTGATGATGATGATGGTGGTGGTGCTGGTGGTGGTGCTTATGATGATGAGGAGGGGGAGGAGGAGGAAGAGGAGAAGGATAACGATGATGACAATGACGACGACGACGATGATTATGATGATGATGATGACGATGACGATGACGATGACGATGCTGATCATGATTATGATGATGGTGATGATGACAATGGCGATGATGATGATGATGGTCATGATGATGCCAACGACGATGATGACGATGACGACGATGATGATGATGCAGATGATGATGACGATGACGATACTATGATTGTGATGATGATGGTCATGATGATGAGGATGATGATGACGACGGTGACGATGATGATGATGATGATTATGATGATTATGATGATCGTGATGATTATGATAGTGATAACGGTGATGATGACGATGACGATCAATATGAATATGGTTGTGATGATGACGATGACGACGACGATGATGATGCTGATGATGGTGATGATGATGCTGATGTTGATGATGATGGTGATGATGATGATGATGATGGAGGCGTCCTGGGGTCTCCTGGGGTCCTCTTTGGGCGGAAGGCTCGAATTGTCGGTTCGTGTTCCCCCTCTTGGGTCCCCTCTGGGGCCGTTGGAGAGTGGTTGGGGGGGGGGGGTGCCTGTGATCACGAAGACAGCTGGCGCCCCAGGTTGCGTTCTCTGCTGGTCTCTCGCCCATGGCGGAGCTTTATGCTCCATCCATGTTCACCTATGTTCCTGATTTCCTCTTCCTCCTCCCCAATCCTCCCTCCCCTCCCCTCTTTGTCCGTGTGGCTCGAAGACAAAGGCTTCCAACTCAACCCGGTTGCCCCGAGATCTTCTTGTATCGTTCCGGTTGCAATCCCAATGCCGTCCTACATGATGGCGCTCATCTTCTGGGTCAACTCCACCGTGCTTGCCCGCGGCGTGTGGATGCGCAGGCACTCTGACGCGCCTGGGGCGGTAGTGGAAGTGATCGACGTGCACCCCGATGATGTCTACGAGCACATGCTGCAAGGGTGGACCCGAGGGCATCCAAACGGTTTCGTGGAAGTGGGCATCCTCACAGCAGACGGTTTCGCGGGGTGCTTCGGCCAACAAAACCCGACTAGATTCCTGGAGCAGGAGGAGTTTGTCGAGGAACCGGTGCGCGTGCCAGTTCCTGTTCCTGCGCAGGAAGACGCCGACGAGGTGCCTGAACTCGTGCCAGTTCTGGTTGCTGCGCGCGAAGAGACCGACGAGGTGCCCGAGCCCGTGCTGGTTCATGCGCCCGCTACGCTGGCACGTCCTCTTCCTGCGCAAGAGGAATCCGGCGAGGGGCCTGAGTCCGCGCCGGTTTCTGCGCCCGTTGCGCCAGAAGGCGCCTTCGTCGGGCCTGTCCCCGAGGACTCTGGCGCAGGCGCCCCCCCGGCCAAGCGAGGGCGCCCGGGTCGCCCAAGGAAAGGATGGATCGAACACGCCCGCTTATCCTTCCCTGACACGACGAAGTTGCGGGAGGCTGCAGCCGAGGCCGCCGACCAGCTCCACGGATGTCGACAGGGGCACTTGCGCAACGCAACGGCCGAGGGGCGCAAAGCCGTGGATGCGCCTTGCAAAAACTGCGCAGGGTGCGCCCGCCAGCGGTGCTTCTCCTTCCGTCCGCCCCGCGGGACTGGCCGCCTAGTGCTCGTCGTCGAGAAGAAAGGGGAGTGCTGCCCAACGCCCCCGTCGAACGCCCGCATCCTCGACCGCGCCAAGGAGTGCGCCCAGAGAATGTCTCCCGTGAAGGCGCGCGACCAGATGGAACGAGACTGAGGCCCCGCTGAAGGAGAGACCGGATCTCAAGCAGTTGCAGAACGCCAGGACGCGCAAGCCCGAGGAGCCCAGAATCCCCGTGGTTGCCGGCAGGGTGACAGTGCGCTGGAAAGTCGTCTGTGGGCGCGGGGCCCCCGGAGTCGCCCCCCGTGCCCCAGGGGGGCAATGGCCGTGGCCCATCGTGCCCGACGGGCGCCTTGCTGCGCCTTTAGCTTTAGCCTTCCCCCCAGGCTTGCATCGGGGAGATGAAGGACTGGTTGAAGAAGGATCACAGCCCGATCTTCCTGTTGAACATGGTCGACACAAAGACAGGTCAGCAGACGCCAGTTGTGACCGAAAAAGAACTTGCGCATCCCCTTCGCCCACGGAGTCTCCGAGGCGTTGCTTGCCGAGCACAGGTTGGAGTGGCTCTTGATGGATTGGACGTGGAAGACGAACTACCACGGGATGCTCGTGGGTGCCGTTGGCCCCGTGAGCCTCCACGTGGACGAGGCAACTGGCCTCCCGACTATGCGCTTCCTGCCGGTGGTGTTCATGGCCTCGGAGACCGAGGACAGCGAGGCTTCCGAGCTTCTCTTGTAGGCTTGCTTCGAGATCGCTGACCGCCTTGGCATCAGCACGACGCGCGCCGTCATGGACTGCCGGTGCATGGGCGCGGCCGCCCCCCTGTGCAAAGCTCGTGGCATCCGACTGCGCAGGTGCCTGCAGCGAGTGAAGGGGAACGTCGCTGACGAGGGCAAGAAGACGTTGGACAAGGGGGGCGGCGTGAAGCGGATGAAGAACACGGCCCTTGTACATCCCATCAAGAACTTCATGGGATTCTCCTCCGGCCTCCCCGACAGCGGCGCCGGGGGCGAGGGTGAGAGCCACTTGGAGTTCAACGTGCTGTTGGCGGAGATCTTCGATCGGTTGAGGGAGGACGGGGAAGAGTCGTTTCAATGGGGCGAGTCCGCAATTGCGGACTACCTCCTGACGAACGTCTTTACAGTGCGTCCAGACGGAACGATCGCCGCGCCCCGGCGCTGCGGGCTCGGGCAGGCCCCCCCTGGCTTTGCGACGTACGCGACGTCTAGATCTTGGCGGACTCTCAAAGGCGTTTGCTGCGCGGGGGCCCCGAAGTCACTCCCAGAGCTGATCGACGGAATCGGCGCCGTGATGACGTCGAGGAAGGACGCTGGCTTCTGGAAGTCCGTGCACCGCGAGATCAAGATCCCCCCCCCCCTTCGCTGACTGGCGAGGGCCGCCGCCAGGTGGCGAGCAGACATGAACAATATGTCAGCGAGGGGGAGGGGGGCGCGACGACCCGCCCCGCGAGGCTGAACCGCCACGACATGATGCCCCACTTCCAGCGGGAGGGCCGCGACGGCACGCACCTCTCCAGCGCGTGCAACGTCGTCTTAAACGTCGACGGCGTCGCAGCCCAGACCACCTCCGTGCACGTCTTGCAGAGGTTCCACCGGAGCTGGGCGAAGGAGCGCAAGGCGGACGTGCTGGCGGCGCTGCAGCTTGGCACGGCGACGTCTTTTTCCGATGTCAGGGGGGCGGCGAGGGGCAGGACGCGGCGTTTGAACGGGGCCAGCCCAGGCCCCTGTCACGCCAGGGTCGCGGCCGTCGCCGCGACGGCGGGGGGCGGGCGTGGAGGGGGGGCGCGGTGGCGGGTGGCGTCGGCTCCTTCAACCCCAGGGGGCCGGCGCGCCGCGGGGCCCCGCTCGCGCCTTGCAGGGGCCTGGGCCAGAACGGGTGCTCCATGAACCGTCATCGGTACTTGAGGGCGTTCTTCGCCATCGTCTACGTGACGGACACTGGGGGGGCCATCGATTCGCGCGGGCACTGCATGAAGCGCGGGGGGGTCAGTGAGCGCTCCTTGTTCGTCGAGAAAATGTTAGAGGGGTCCTGCGCGGCCCCGCTCCCGGCCAGTTTGCCGCGCGCAGCTACGGGGTCTTCCTCTTCCCCCCAGCCGCCGAAGCATTCGAATGCGCCCAAATACTCTGAGAAGATGAAGGCGGTGTTTCAGGCCGCGCGGCCAACTTCCCCATCGGCCTCGCCCCGCGCCCCCTAGGGGCACCCCGATCCTGGCGGGCGCGCGTCGAAGCGGGTGGGGGGGCGGTTTGGCCGCGCCGCAGGCGCTGCCGGGGCCGCCCGCCGCGAGCAGGCCAGCGGCCCTGGCGGCGCCGCCGTGCAAGCTACCCGGCTCCGCGGCGTCACCAGGCGCCGCCCCGCTGCTCTCGTCCAACTTGCAGTGCGAGGGCGACGGGCGCCCCATCCCCCTTGCTCTTCGGGGCGCCCAGACCCCCACCCACCCCGCCCCGCAGGTGCTGCTGGAAGACGGCGCAGGCCCGCTGCAGGAGGAAGCGGCAGGCGTCGTGCAATTTCTGCCCGCAGCGCGCGCAGATGGCGAAGAGCTCCAAGGTCCTCGAGGCAATATTGGCGGGCATCAGCTCCATGTGCAACTCTGACTGGGAGGCCCTGCAGTTGAACATGGCCAAGGCGCTCTCCCTGAACGAGCAGGAGGAGCAAGGTCGTCGCCACGCGGCCAGCGTGCAACTCATCGGACAGCGCTTGGCGAAGTGGGGCCTCCAGGCCTCGTCGCGCCGATGCGCCCTGATGTAGGTCTGCGCATTTTCATCTGACTGGGCGCCCGTTCGCGGGCTGCCCGATTCTCCGAACAGTGCTTGCGTTCCTATTTCCTTTCAGCGGGTGCAATCCACGCGCGCAGTCAGGTGCCCTTGCTTCTCCGTCGCCGCTTGTGGCCGCCCGTCGCCGAGACGCATCGCTCGCGCCGCCCAGGTTGCACCGCGGGGATTGCATTGCACCGCTTAGATTGCAGCGCGCCGCATAGATTGCACCTCAGTGATTGCGCCGCGTAGATTGCGCCCCAGCGATTACCGCCGCTGTCCCAGAGTTGACATCGCAGGCGGTCGGAGTGCCGGGCGACGGGTCGCGTCTCGTCCACGCGTTGATCGAGGCGCTCAGGAGGGGCGGCGAGGAGGTCGGCCTGACCGCCGAGGGCTTGCGAGCTGAAGGACTGCCCTCCGCTTGGCGGACCCCCCCCCTGCCCCCGCTATCTATCCGCCAGCTGGGCCCGAGCGGTCGGGGGGGGGCCCGCGGGCGGGGTTTGGGTTTCATCGCCCCCGCACGGGCCCCTGCGCTTGTAAAGCGTCGCCCCCAGCCACGAACTGGATCGCGAGCCTTCCCGGCGCGTTCGAGAGCGCGCTCAACAGAGCTCAGTTCCCCAACGTGGACGCGTGCGTCGCGCACGTGCGGAAGCCCGGTTCCTGGGCGGACCATTTGGTGGCCACTGCGTGCGCCGCGGTCTTGATGAGGCCGATCGTCGCCGTCTTAGCGCTTGGCGGCCAGCGGGCGCCGATCAGCCCGCCGCGGGCGGGCGCCGCCGGCAGGGTTCTCGCGGGCTCTGCGATTCGCGCGCGCGCGGCGTCGGGCGCGCCTGGGGGCGGGGGCGTGCGAGACCCCCCCGCCCGCCCCGCTTGCGCCCGAGGTCATTATCTCTGACGTCGAGGGCGACGTGGGCGCCTACTGCCGCAACATCGAGCCGCCCACGTGCATCGACAGGTCGTTGCGGCTGGCTTAGTTTGCCGTGGATTCGCGCGTGCCGAGCGCGTCGCTGCGGCGGCCGCGGGCCCTCGCGCCGCGCGCCGCCCCTCATTGGTCGCCTCGCATACTATGGCCAAATTCAGTCGGGCTTGGCCGACGCACCTCAAGACACTGGGGCCCTCGGCGATTTCTTTTGGAAGGTTTAGCACGCAGACAAGTTTTTAGAGCTTCCAGCACATTGCCGGGGGGGGGTCGCAGCCGGCCCCGGCCGTCGCCCGCTCCGCGCCCGCTGGTCGCGCCGAGGTGGCGGCCCGCCGTCCGCGTTTGCAGCTTCGACCAGCTGCATTTCGACGGCGCGGAGTCGGCGGGCGCTCCCCCGGGCGACGGCGGCGCCGCCCCCCGGAGCCCCCCCGGGCGACGGCGGCGGCGCCGGCGGGCCCGACGCCAGGCCAGGCGACGAGCCGCGCCCGAAGAGGCGCCGGAAGTGAGAGCGGACCCAGCGCCCAGGGCCCTCGTAGTCGGGCCAGGGGGGGGCAGGGGGAGGCGGAGGTCGGCGAGCATCGAAGCGTGTCTGATTTTGATTATTTTCCAAGACTCTTCGTATGCTTCGTCGTTGTCGGTGCACCTCGCTCATTCCGTAGTTTTGCTGTGCGACTGGCGGGAAGCAGCCTGCGCGTCGCGCCCGCGTGAGGAAGGGGGGGCGGGGGCGAGGTGGAGCTCGGCCCCGACCCGGGCGCGTGGCGGACAGAGGTAGCAGTCGCAGTCGCGCTCCTGCGGCGTTCGGCCCCCCGTGCCCTGATGTGTCCCCTCCTCCTCCTCCTCCTCCACAATTATTCAATATGAACGCTGCTCTCCTCCTTCCCCTGATGACGGGTTGGGAATGTTCGCCCCCGCCCCCCCTGCGTGCTGTTTTTTTACACGCAGGATTCCCCGGAGTTGGGTTTTCGCCTGCATATGTGTTCAAAGTGCTGCATTCGCTGAGGCGCCGGCTTCATTTTCGGGCCTCGCCCGTTCCGAATCGTGTTCCCGCTGCAGCGCTTGCCTCATTTCCGTGCTTCCGCTCGTTCCGAATCGTGCTCCCGCTGCAGCGTTGGCCTCATTTCCGCGCTTCCGCTCGTTCCGAATCGTGTTCCCGCTGCAGCGCTGGCGTCATTTCCCGCGCCATGCCACGGCGTGCAATGCAATTCTAGGTTGCGTTCCGCTGCGCGATGCCATGCCTTCAGCTGAAGCTGTGATACGCAGTGCTTAAGTGCCGCATCGTGCTATGCCAGGCTACGCTTAGATTTTCAACGCCATGCTATGCAATGTTATGCTCGGGGCCGCTGTGCGATACCATGTTTTGCGTTGCGACGCTTTGTGATGCAATTCTTCACCGCGCCACGCCACGCCATGCTGTGACACACTACGTTTTGCGGTGCTCTTCTACGCCATGCCACGCCGTGCTCTACAATGCATCGCGTACCCTTTCGGGATCATTGCCCTGCTCGACATCCGACTGTGCGAACAGAGAGGGGATCTACGCCATGGCCATGGTTGGGGATGGGAGGGAGGGGTAGGATGTCAGATATGACGCGAAGGCACCTAGCTTGTCCTCCCCCTCCTCCTCCTCCTCCTCCTCCTCCTCCTCCTCCTCCTCGTCCTCCGCACTCCTCCTCCTCATATTCCTCGTCGTCGCCCTCCTCGTCCTCTTCCACTTTCTGTCCTCTCAATCGTCGCGGCATCCAACCAAGTGCCGCGGCGATTTAACTCCGCAGTTAAGTCTGTGCCTGGCTGGGGCGCGCGGCGTGGGAATCAATTAACTCCAGAGCTAATTCGTAATAGCTGGTGCGTCCGCCACCTTGGCGGCGACTTAACTCCGGAGTTAAGTTTTTCCGCGGGGTGGCCTTTGCCCCGGACTCGGGCCGACTTAACTCCGGAATTCAGTCTTGGACAACCTCCCGGTTTCAGTCGCTTCCATCGAACCTCCTCCCCCCCGACCCCTCCTCCTCTGGCTCCTAGGGGCAACTTGTGGACCAGGAAGACTCAGCGGTGGCATTTATGGGGCAAGGGATGGCCCGGTGCGGTATGCAGACAACGCCGTGGCAGCGAATCTGACATAGCATGCAGAGCTAATGAGCATTGCCCAGGTTTTTGTGCCCACCACTCAGTGGTGGCGACTCCGAGAGGCCATTCTCCAATCTATTTCGGATATATTCGGATGAGACTCTCCTCTTGAATATCAGACTTCGAATGAAGTGCGTTTTTGATTCAGATGGAGCCCGAGGTTCTCAAAGCGATTGCCCGCATCGCCCCCCGCAATAATGGACGTATGTTGCAACGACGACGTGCTAGAGAAGGGAGGCATCCGAAGGTTTCCGTTGTGTCTTGGAACCTCCCAAATCACTTATTCAGAACGTCAGGGAGTTAGAGGCACACCCAGAGCCAGCCGACAGCACTTGAATGTGCACCGGGTGGGCCTGTTGCACGCCATCGCCTACGTCTTGCTGCAGGTGGGGCCAGATCCCATCGATTTTTTCTGTCTAAACGTTGGTCCTCCCGCATCCCACTCCTCCTCCACCTCCTCCTCTTCCTCCCCCCCCACCTCCTATCACTTCACCCCTCCTCCTCCTCCTCCTCCTCCTCCTCCTCCACCTCCTTCCTCCTCCTCCTCCTCCTCCTCCTCCTCCTCCTCCTCCTCCTCCTCCTCTCCGTCATCCTCATTGTCCTCCCCCTCACTATCATTGCCTTCCCTCATCCTCCACCCCCTCCCGTCCTCCTCCTCCCTCTCTTCCGCCTCTGACTGGGCACGGTTGTGGTGGTGATGGTGCACGTGTGCCTTATTGCGCGCGCAATGATCACAGGGGGAGGCGGAGTATTCTAAAAGTGGTGCAGAAGAGGTTGTCACAGCTCGCGTGTGGGCGCCCTCCCGACTTGACTGCCGTTTCTGGTCGCCACGGTCGCGTCGTGCCATTGGCACCGCTGCCGTGGTCACCCGCCGAGCGGCAGACATTGGCACAGGGTGAATCAGTGTGCGAGTATGGTTCGTTTGTTTTTTGGTTCCGCTAGTGATGGGGCAGGCATGGAGAATGGAAGGCGAGGAGAGGAGGGGAGAGATGGGGCAGGGTTTTTTTGTTCCACTGCGCGGACACTGATCGTCAGATTGCAGCGTCAATCTGATTCGGGGCACTGTGCAGAAAAAGCCTGACAGACAACGCTGCGTGATACAACGAGCGGCCAGCACGGCAGGGCACGCCACCTTTTCCCCACTCTTGAGACCAGGTGCGCCACCCTTTCGCATTCTGAAAACACGGCACGGACACCCCCACGACACACGACACGGCACGCGGGCACGGCACGGAACGGCACGGCTTTTGTTGCGCTTTCTCGAGATCGAGCACGGCATTGCACACATGCGCGCCACCACAGTACGGCACGGTTCTTTGCCGCCCTCTCGAGGTTGATCGACTCGTGATCGACGGCACGGGTTGGCACGGCTGGCGGCCACATTATCTCATTCTAGAATTTGGGCGCAGCACGACACGGCCCGGCACATACGGCAAGACACGTGGGCGGCAAGCTTGCTCGCCGCATTCTAGAACTTTGGCACGGCACGGCACGTCGTTTTTTTTTCTCCGCATCCCAGAAACGAGGACTAACACTGCATGGCACGCTGGCGGCAGTTTCGCTGCATTCCAGGATGTTGATTCGCCTCTCTTCAGGGATCAGAGGTTGCGGGGAGGCAGCCCAGCACAGAACAAGGACTTGATATAGCGCAATGTGAAAAAAAGAAGGCGGAGAAGACAGGCGCAACAGTAGACGAAACCCCGTTTCGATGACACCCACGGGCATGGTTTTTGTTCAATCCGCTGACCCAGAGATCCTGGCCGCTTCCCCAGTGGTAGCTTTCCGCCCTGGAGCCTCGAAAGAGCAAAAAGCTGTCCAGCGTGATGTGTGTCACGACGCGAGGGGGTCTGGAT